TCAGTTGACTCTAGCACATGAAACATCATGAGGCTGCAACGCCGCTGGTCGTTAGCAGTTGCTCTCTCTTCCTTCCTTCCTTGCGCTTTCCACCGGCCTTCATCGCTTACGCGATCGCACGGAGGGACTTTAGTGCCCTTAGGACGCAACATAGACACATTAAACTGTAATAATAGTGATATTAATAATAATAATAATCTCTCAGCTGTACCTAGACACAGACACACCAGCCGAGCTTCCAGAAACGGATGGACATCGTTCCGGAGAGCTAGCAGCGGCGAGCAGGTGGGCTCGTTCTGACCTAGGAGTGGCCCAGTATCGGATGGATGGGATGAACTCACGAAGCTTCTCGCCATGGGATCTTTCGCCCGTCTTGCTGGCTTACGAGGTTTCTGGACTGCTGTTGATTACACTTCTTGCACAATATTTAGCTCAAGTCTTGCTGAATGCCACGCGGGAATTTAAATTGGCTGTTGGACATACCAATACATAAGATGTGAAAATTTACTTGATGGATCAGGCATGTAACAGCACTAGCTCTATATTCAACAATTTTGCGACTGCTGCCACAAGGAGTTTGTTTTGTCATTACGACTAACTTAGCAGTTATGACGGGAAAATGTGAATCAACGGAACGACCAGAAAACAGTCTAATAACCACGATAAACTATATGAGTGAGACACTTACACGAACATTTAGAATCACAATAAAAGACTAAATTGTCCAAAAAATTATCGCCGATAAGCTGCAATGCACAAGGTAAGCCGTCGAGCGTTATCCGCATCAAGAAGAGCAGAGGACTAACGATACTTCTTGAATCACATCACTAGTAACAGGCAGCGATGAATGCCTCCAAATACCTATTTGAACTTGCTGAGTGCGATTAGTAAGACTTCACATTAGAAATACTAAGTTGACTGTAAAAACAAAGAATGAATGTATTTTTCTCGTGCATACAGTCACGCAACATGTGCACCATTTCCCCTCAGGTCGGTTTATTTTCGTGATATCTATGCAACGATGGAATTACGGCACGAGGAGGTACAGTCACGTGGAAGATACTGATGCGATCGGTATGTGGTTAGTGAGAGAGGCCGTTCATGGTCCTAGAAGAGAACTCCATACTTTTATCGAACTGCTTGCTAGCATTTGAATCACCGATTGGTTCCCTTTTTTCCGCAGCATCGAAAAATAACTTTTAGTGAGCGAACTAGCAGAATATAACCCATTTGAGGTAATCTGGCGAAAATAACTGGGTGGCGTTTGAACCATTGCGAAAGAATACTTGTCGTTCCGAACTTTAAGATCAAAGCACTAAGTACAAAACTCGTTTCGAGCCCGAAGATCGAATGCTGTCTTACGGGAGTAAGTGGAAATTTAAATCCATTAAATTTCATCGATGTGTGATCAAAAAGGTTAAAATAAATATCTGTTGCCTGTAATTACACTAATCGCTTTTCAAGTTCTCATGTAGCCTCTAACCATACTTGATTCACAATAGTACGAAGCACACAGCAGTGAGATGACGTTATCAACAGCACATCGTTCTGTTAATCTGGAAGTAGCGAAATGTGAATCCACCAACCTTCTGAACTGCTGCACAGATTTAACTTAAATTACATGCGCTGGCAGTCTTGTTGAGTGCTACTCAGAGATACTATACCATTTTACACGCATGTTAGCGCATTGTGCCAAGCTTTCAGAGTAGCACCTTTTCAAAATCGCGTGCAGTGCTTTCAAGTTAACGAGGCTAAGAACGCTGTTTTGGCGTTGTTGACACCCTCACTGGTCATGGGACGTTACCCAATGGGACACCGGTTGGAAGCCCACAGCATAATCGACAGACAGTTCAATGAAAGTGGTCGAGCACCACCTTCTGTTCTATTTTGATGCCTATCTGAAGGAAACCTCGCTAACTTGAAATCACTTTACGCTATTTCGAAAATATGCCACGCTAAAAGCTTGGTACAACGCGCTAATTTGCGTGTAAAATGGTGTAGTCGCAAGCGATGGCACGTAAGAGGCATGCCAGTTATGAGAATACGGAGAACTCAGGTCGGCTGGACCCAACATTCACATGGGCTACCAAGAATGGAGAGCACTTAAGCAAAATTAGACAGTAACGTATAGCCCTGAGTCACTGTGGGAGAGCAAGTGATTGGAATTGTGCCACCAGCAGAACCATTGGATGATCGGAAAATATAAACAAGAATAAATTCCAATGACTCAAATTGCTAAAAGTGTGAATGTTTCCTGTTCACCACAGAGAGTGGGCATCTCGCTTCAGATTTGTGATCACAAGCCTTTACCAGTGTCCGGATGTGTTTATGTGTGGCAGCGGTCTCAGCAACAGGATAGCTGGAACTCTCTAAACTTGATTATTGCTCCAAAAAAGTGATCTGCACAAATTTTCAACTATAACAATGCTGCATGGGCGTTTCCAACTACGACAGATGAGAAACTACTCCTTGTCTTTGTTTTGCAATGCGTAAGCAAACATTTTCGATACGGTGTTACATCAACCTTCGCTAATCTATGTGATGACGCTGCCTCCTCGATTGGCGTTTTCTTTGATGTTTGGATCTGATGTGTCGACAGACATGGACATTAACGACTTCATCTTTTATGTCAGAATGAACTTTTTGTGCCAACTGTATACCTGCCTTAATAAATTCTCTCCGCTGCATAAGATTCAAGTCAAACCAAACCAAATGTTACGATCCCTGATCGGTTCATTTTCAGCGGTTACACCACTACAGCGGACATACTGGATGGTAATATAAATATCTTATACATATGTGGGAAGAGGCATAGAATATATGCGCCACCGTCATTCTAAGAACCGTTCGCGCAGCATGTTTGTGACTATTTTGGGGTCAACAAGCTAACCTGGCACATAAGGTGCGATAGTATTACAATACGATGAGGTGCGGTAAAAATTTAAATTTTGAACGCGCAGCGGAGAAAGAGAGCGTTTTTGAAAGGTCCCCGTGCAGTGGATGAAATCGGTCATTTAGTCCGTCAGAAAAATCTATTGCAGGTATCAAGATGCCTAGAAATGATCGAATCAACTAAAGGATCCTTCGACAAGTTTTCCGGGTCGGTGTTCGGTGGCATTTTTGGAGATATGAGCAGTACGATCACACACTGTGGATCAAAGAGGGCTATAGCGCGATGATGATCTGATGATGAAACTGCTCCACAACATAGTACACATTGGTAGAGAGGAAAAATGCACCCCAACCAGTAAAACGCACTAATTGCTAAAAATATTCTTAGTTTATTTTGTGGGTCACATGTCGCTGTGTGGAAGCGGTATAACGAGCATTTTAATTTTGGAATATTGGTAGCTCGGGAGGCTTGCTCAGTTGTTGTGGAGTTCTCCGAGCTGGGCAACTTGATTGCAAACGTTTCGCCACCATTCGAGGTGGCATCTTCAGTGCGGGATTGATAGCAGTTAAGTAGCAGTAGCTGGTAGAAAGCAAACCCAATAATGATCCATCCAATATTGATCCATCAATCCCGCACTGAAGATGCCACCTCGAATGGTGGCAAAACGTTTGCAATCAAGTTGTCCATCTCGGAGAACTCCATACCAACTGACCATTTTAATGTGAGAATGGAGTCATATCATTCTGTTTGTAATATTTTTGGCTGTAGTGACCCATCACTCCTTGGGGACCCCTTCTGGTGATTTGCGAGACTGTGATGGCGTACCATTTGGAGGTGGACAACGATTGGTCTGACTGTGGGAAATGAGATCACTGAGTGCTGTTGCATTCCTTCTCACACTATCGACTCCACATTGTACACCAGGTTCAGATATTACTGCACATAACTCGCAGCTGGTACCGACGACACATTCACTATCATTTCCCAGCCTGATTGCATGTTTACAACTTGTATGATACTGGGACGACGTTGGTTATGATGCGCTGTGAAATGTAAATCGCAGCTAACCTATCTCACTAAAATTACTTTATCTTTGTCATCTGTTTCTGACTGTAATTTGTTGTCAAACTGCTAACGTCTTGACTCTGGGTGTTCGCTTAACGCGCTCCGCTACTCCATACTTTATTTTTCACTCATTCTCCCTCCTCATTAAGGCTGTCTGCTTTAACGTATGATTGCATGTGAAAATGAAGGACCAGTACTGTTTATATTGATAATGATGATTGATAGTGATGATAATAATGATAATAATCATTATTTTTATGAGTTCGTCGCAATAGACTGACAATTCGGATACCTCAACTACCAATCCGGAAAAGCACCAGAAGGCCGTTTCGCCCTATTGGGGCTCCTCAGTGGTACGCATCCTTCGGTCTTCTTCCGAGGATCGAACTCATGACCACTGAGCCATGGGTGACGCATGAATTGTTAGCTAACTGCGATTTAACCCGACCCATCCTCCACTGCCATGCAGATGACAGCGATTGGCCTTCCGGCGTCAGGACTTCCCGGTTACGGCAGCTCTAAATCGACTTCCCGTAACCGAGAAGTCCTGTCTATTCTAATAATGACAATGTCTACTCTCTTAAAGCACTCACCAACCGTTCTCCTGAACACGCGTAGCCTCTTTGAAGTCATTTGGCTTATATTCTATTTACGAACACCGGGATTTTACTACTTTTTTTGTTTGTGCCGTGAATTACCGCTTGCTTGTAAGGAATTCATGCGTTGCCTGGGGAAACTCGTCCATGGTCTTCAAACTTAATATCCGTCTTTTTGCTACTTTCTGTAAAGAGCAATCTCAGCGCTTTACCTCTTCCACATAGAAACAAGCGGCCAAACAATATCTAACTAGGTTTGGAACGCATGCTGTGTCCCATTTGTGAGGTGACCACTTTCGTTCCAAGTTTTCCCATTCATTGCTTGCAAATCGAACGGATTCCTTTTCCCCTTCGATTGCACTGATTTCCTTCTCCGTTTCTTTGAAGTACTTTTTCTACTTGAAGCCAATCGCCTCACACGTCCTATGTGTGTGTATCTCTTTTAGGTCAGTTCGTCGGACACATGCGCAACGCCAGGTCCAGTGCTCCGAATCCACCGTCTGTCCAAACGCTATTCGTCTCAGCGGAAGCCAGCTTTGAGTAATCTCACTCTCTCTGTCCGCGCCGGTGAGTGCTTTGGTCTGCTTGGCACCAATGGAGCTGGCAAATCAACCACCTTCGCTTTACTCACCGGGCAGTATCCAGTTTCACGAAACCACCTGTTTCTCAACGGCGTTGATCTCTCCCAATATTGGATTGGCCGACGGGGATATCCTATCATTGGGTATTGCCCGCAACAGAACGCGCTGCATGATTTTCTCACCGCCAGAGAAACGTTGTTAATGCATGGCCGTCTTCGCGATCTTTCGGGTAAGCAACTTGACTCCAGCGTGGAAGGTTTGCTTAAAACAACTGGCCTGGAAGCTTACGCTGATTTTCAGATACGGACTTACTCGGGAGGCACCAAACGAAAGTTGTGCGCTGCCGTTGCTTTCATTGGCGATCCCCAGGTAATTCTTTTGGACGAGCCATCTAGCGGCATGGATCCAAACGCAAGGCGCCTTCTTTGGGCTCACATTCAGTCGGCTCTTCGGCGCCGACGCATCGTCGTGCTCAGTTCGCATTGCATGGAAGAGTGCGAGAGGCTGTGTACTCGTGTTGGTCTTCTCGTTGATGGGCAATTGCGTTGTGACGATAGCCCATTGGAATTGAAAAGACGCTTCAATGTAGGTTACACAGTCGATTTCGAACTCACTGCTGAGGCCCTCTCCATGGATGTGTCAAAACTGAGAACTCGGTTGCAGCAATTTCTACCAGAATTGGATTTATCTTTCCCACTCCATATTCGACAGAGGTACGAGTATGCACAGGAGAAGCAATTGTCCAAGCTCTTTCGGGCTCTCCAAGCTCTGTATGAGCAAAAGCTAGTCAGACACTTTTCTGTGAAACACAGCACTTTAGAGGATGCATTTGTCAAATGCCTTGTTGCTCCATGAGTTGCACTTTCAAGTCCACTGTTCGGCCTGTACTCTATTCCATTCTTCTCCACGCATGCGTCGGCTCCTGTTGTTGTTGTTGCTGCCTTGGATGCTGAATAATGAATAAGGTTGCGTCGATTCGCCCCTTTCGTTTATTTACTAGTTTCATATTTCTTTGTTTCCTGTGCTTCTTCCTGTGATTTTTCCTCAGTCAAATCGTTGCCTCACCCTGCCGTCATATGATCTCTTCATTTGCCGTTTCTGTTATGCTTCAGACACCACGGCTAACACTCTCGATGATCTCATCGACTACTGTTGGTTCGTGTACAAATCACTGAGCAATTGATCATCGCATTTATTTTTTCACTCGTGTCATATTTCATCTCCCCTTTTCCTGTCGAACGCAATATGAACATGGCCGCACTTTTACCAGCCATATAAGAGTTACACTTGACAACTTATCGTAGACCCAGCAGCTCCTAGAGAGTGTTCACATCGTGCTTAATCACTTTTCAAAGGGTGTTCAAGTCATCTCTGGGCATTGTACAGTGCTCACGCACGATAAACCGTCCCTACCAGCACTGCACATAGCTCCATCAGTACGTGTTCATAGTTGCTTCCCTGTGCACATGGTCGGTACTGTCATCCCCCATTCCAACCGGTTCGGTTTATTGACCATGAGCCTATCGGCAAATTCACTGGAATTTGACATCTAACCACGGATGACGCAAGCCATTCGACAGTTATCCCAGGGCATTATAAAGCCCGCTAGATGCATCAGCATCACATGCGTAACAGAATTTGCCCCACGGCGATCAACAGTTTGTTTGTGTGTGTGTGGCGTTGTCCACACTATGTGTCCATGTTACAGGGGACCAGGGTAGCGTTAGTGCCTGGAAAAATTTCTTGTATGCACATAGGTCAGGGTCATGAAGCATGGTGGTCATCGCCTCGGCCGCTACCAGTAGACGACATTTAACCGCTCTTGTGTAACATCTGGGTACGCGGTAGATGGGCTGGAACGCCTCATGCGCGCTTACTTGATGGCTCGAGTCGATCAGGTGTGTAGCCACTGCGCTTGCCACTGATCTAGTCACGTCGCTATACAGCCAAGCTGGACAGTGTTCCCTGTATTAGCCTGATGAGGAACCACTGAAAACCAGCTTGTTCGCTAACATTTGTTCTGATGTCTACTCCCGGGATATTTTATCAGTTGCGACAGCATTTGTTTCCACTCCAATCTACTCAACATTCGCCGGGAAATAGACGTGCCGCGTGCGGGTTGTCAACTTGCTACAAGTGAACTCTAACGAAAGGAACGCTGAGGAAAACAGCTATTATCACGCGCGTGTTGTTCATGGTATCCGCCGGTTTTTCAGGCCGTAAATATATTGTGGTTAGGTCCCAGGTATGTAGGTCTGCTATCTCTTATCTGATCCGTGGAGCATCGACCGCTCAATTTGGTTGCCTATCGATCAATTTAGGCGCTTATCCTACTTTCATCGCTTTAAACCGCTGATCGCCACTGAACTGTTCATTTAATCCGGTTACATGTGCTTCTCAAAAGCATGGTAAACCATGGAGTTTCATCTAGACGCAACTGATAAGTCGGTTATCCCTGTTATCACTAGATTAAACAGTATACGCTGGCCTACCATCACTAACAACGTGATCCACTAGCTAAGACAGTATGCTGGTCAGCCGTACTCCAGCATTGATCGCATTATTGAGACGAGTGGCAATCTCTTCGGATTAATAGCCGAGGCTGCGTTTGAGCACCCAAGACATGGAAAAGCGTTTTCCCTAAAGCCTCTTCGTGTTGCCCATGCACTTAAGCTCACAGCGTGATCATATTCCAGGGCATCGAAGGTTTGCGACATTGAAACTAGAAAACTTGCTTAGGAGGTCTTGTGTGTGCGGTGAGATTTCAAGACGATCTTTTTGAGGTCGTCAATTAATCGTATTTTGGGTGAACTACTGTTATTGGACTTTGAGCTTCTGCATGTTGGCTGATAGGAAGCTCACGTGATGAAGTCCCGATTAAATTGGTCATTACGCAAGTCACTGTTTCTTTGGGGGGCTGTCGTACATCACAGCTCTATGACTCAAAAGAAAGTTTGCTGTCGTTTTTGATAAGCATCAGTGATTTCGCTCTACCTCCCTCGATACTCCGATCGGAACTTATTACCACCTTTACGACACATCGGTGTCTTTGCAGCCATGCGTTTGCACTGAACCACCACTTCCAACACTTTGGAGTCACGTGTGTCTGGCTGGGGGCATGCAAATCGGTCCCTTTGATTGTTCCAACATTCACGCGCCTAATGAAATTAGGGTTTCACTAAAATGTAATAGCTTATAAGCAAGGAGCAGAGGCATTAACAATGTTAAGCAAGTTTTAGCAGTGTACTTGTTTTCCTCTGCGAGCACCCGAAAAAACGCCCAGATAAGGCAGCTGGTCGTCATATTGCGCGGACAGGATAGCACATCAACAGTTCATCATGGCATGGGTGCATGCGTAATTGTAGTTTATACCCTCACTAATTACGGGACTTGTTAACCACTAACTTTATTACGGTGCGAACTCATTAGAGCTGCACGTTTCCCCTCAATTAGTGTATGAAGCACATTCTCGATTTGACTTCACTCGCTTATTCTATGTAAGCGTCATCCTAGCTCGAAAACCAACCGTTGCTATCCGTGGAACCTACACCAAGACTGTCGCATTATTTGCCGCATTAAAGTCTTAGTGCGCATGTTGGTACATAGCCAATCGCTATTGCTTGATGTCAGGAAGCTACGTGCGCTGCGGTGGTCGCATCAGTGACGTCGCCTACGTGCGCTACTCGTCTTTCGCCTATTGGCCCACGCGCGCAATGCTTGCTAGGACAAGCATCTGGTAACTTTTGGTGCAAGGACTCTGGCTACCGGCTGTGATGGAATGCGGAACAAATATCAGCTCTTTTCGCCGACAGAATTTGTTAAAGCTATACGGTGGGCATGCTCCGACTCCTACGGTGTCACAACTTCACCCTACTACGCATCTGCTGACCAAACGCTTCACTAGTCTCAGCCGCGTCTTGCCGTCCGTCATCGCCCTGGGGATGAATTGCTCTCGAACATGTGCAGTCGACACCCCCTCGCGAGTAGCTTTCCCTCTATACCTAAATCCGACAGCGGATGACCAATGAGACAGCTACGCGACAGCGAGCGCAAAAGCAACCACCGACGCATGGACAGGCGAACTTGTAAGAGTAATAGATTAAGTCGGAATCCTTAGGGCTTAACTTGAAGGCCCTATGGCTTAACGTGTCTGGGAAATGGTATTGACGATGTCACGTGATGCTCGTTGTACATGCCGTTTCCCATCGTCACCTTATTCCTACATGGTCACCAGTCGGGAAATTCAAGAGACTTTGTGCCCCAATCGTATTTTCTGCAGCCCTGGGACATTCCGAACCGATAATTGGGTGTATTGCGCTTCAGTTGAATATTAGAATTTTTGTGCATGCTTTTGTTTTCGTCTACAATACCTCACCTTTAGTTCCACATTCGAAATGAATTAAGCCCACCTTTGCATTAACGTGGATTCTACGAACTACTGTAAAGACGAGCTGAAAACTTAGTTGTTGCTCCTTCCCGCCACTGCACTGTGCAGCGTAGATTTCGTCATTCCTTTTGAGCTTTTGTTTCCTGTGCTCCTGAACGCACTCCATTGTATGCTATGTCGACCTAATCGTGCGTATACATTGTCTTGCGCACTATCGTGAAGCAGTACTTATGGTCCTCCTCATCATTACACACGTTACCTACAGGTAGGAAACACCTCAACTACTGTGCCGCAACACATAACAGGCAAAAAAAGAAAAAAATATGCAACAGATGCATGCCAGCTGAGGTACTAGTAACCGATGGGCATCGTTCCGGAAAGCTACCATTCGGCAACTATGCAGCAAAAAACCTTTTTATGCAAAAATACATTATGCTAAAATATAAGTTCTTGGTTGGAGATGGAGGTAAGAGGGATGGGAAGGGACAAAGAAGCTCGCAGCACAAAGATAGGAAGGATTGCGCAGTAGCATCCAAACCCCTATGCACCCTGTTCGATGCAGCCGATAGGGCACCGTGGGTAAATGAATATTTTTTGTTCCTGACAGTGTGGGACACGCCTAGAAAGACATGATCACAGTAATGCAGAGCGTATAATCAGTAATTGTCACGTGTTACTATGTAACCAGTACCTATTGTTGATCATGCCTGGTTTGGTGTGTCTCGACAAATTCGAGAATATACTATTTATTTATTTATTGGAGTTATGTTGTGTGGATGTATGTAAGTGATTGACGGAGTAATCATGTTGAGTGATTTGGTTAATGTTATGCTAGACTTGTGGTTGTGTTCGGTGAATTCGCCAACATTGGAAGGGATTAAATACCATCTTCGAAGTGGCTGACGTTCTTGAATAGGATGGGATCCTCTGGAAAGGTAGGAGGCAGTGATTATTCACATCCGCCACGTCACAGTGTTGTTATACATACATTTTTGGTTTTTTATAGGAAGAACGCTTGTCAGGCGAAAACCCACCACTCCCTGAAACACTGCAGCCGGGCCATTAGCTGAAACAGGATTAACCCAGACAAGAACATCAGTAAATTTTTAATGAAGCGTTCATAGTACTCAACAACACCGGTGCCCCTTATCCATTCCTTGTCACGGGTGCTTCCGTGTGGTGACAGAGCTGTGCATCTCTAACCGACGCACGACACTTCTCTCAACTTCCCTTTTTGTTTGCAAGTTCTGTGTCGGAATGTAAAGACTGAATGGTTCTCAGTCCCGTTTACGTATGCTCTTATCCAATGACAGCTACCGCAACTGATACTAGGTTTTCGAGATTGCGGCGTGTTTTTTGCACGCTCAACGTGGCAAGTGTTTCTATAGAGCTGGGCTGACTTATCACCAGCTCTCGAAATCACCGAACAACCTCCGGAATCGGTCCGTTGGTTTACTCATCTAGACTTGTCACATTTGGTGACAGCATCATCGAAGTACCTACTGCGTGCATTGCGAAGGCTAGCCGAACAACCTCCTCGTGGTGCCAGCTGGGTGGTTCGGGTTTAACCCGTTCCAGCAAATAGTTCGGCGGCAGTGTTACAGGACGTGGTGGGTTTTCGCCTGGCAAGCGTTCTCCCTATAAAAAGCCACAAATGTCTGCTTAACAACACTGTGACGTGGCGGTCGTGACTCGCCACAAAATAAAGTCACTGCCCTGTGCATATCCGGATAATCCTTTCCAACCCACGGACACCGATCTCCTACTCGCACATTGCTGACGATATCAAACATTCAAGAATGGAGCAGCACACTTACAAGCACAAAGTACACAGCTACATACACGCACACACAATTACATACTTACATACCCCCTACCCAAACAT